AAAAAAAAAAGAAAAGAAAACAGATTCTTCTCTCATATAGTACTCCTGACCAGAGTTTCCTCTCCCTCCACTCCTCCCAGCTTCCCAACCCCACCTCAATCCATTCCCCCTTTGTCTCCCTTCATAAAAAAGCAGGCATCCATGAGAAATCAATAAACATGGCCAAATACAGTAAGACAGGGCAAATGCCTGCACACAAAGGCTGGACCAAGCAACACAACAAGGGGAAGAATTCACAAGACAGGCAAAAGCCACAGACACGGCTGCTGGCACTATGAGGAATATGACAAAAGCACCCAGCTAACACCTATAGCAAATGCAGAGGACCTCATGCGAACCCCTGCAGGCCCATGCTTGCTGCTCCAGTCTCTGTGAGGCCCTGAGAGCCATGTTCTGGTGGCCTACATCCTCTCTGACTCCTACATCTCATAGGGTCCTGATGCAACCTCACATTTAAGCTGTCTCTGCATAAATTCCTGGCTGTTGGTCTCTGTGTCCGCTCCCATCTGGTGCTGGAGGAAGCCTCTGATGACAGCTGGACACCGATCTAAGTATAGCAGAGCATTATTAGGAATCATTTCACTGACTTAGTTGTTTGAATGGCCAGTCATGTTTAGTTCTGCCCTAGGTCTCTAGGTCATCCAGCCTCCAGTTCCTGTCAGTCCAGGCACTGTCAGCTCTGGGCTCCCTCTGGTGGAATGGGCCTCAGGTTGAATTAGACATTGGTTGGCCACTCCTGTAAGTTTTGAGCCACCATTGCCCTCGCACACCTTGCAGACAGGTCAGATTGTAGGGCAAAGGTTTTATGACTGGGTCGGTGTGGAAGTTTGAATGAAAGTGGCCCCATAGGCCAAAGCCTGAACCATAAATTCTGTTTTCTGTCCCTGATGACTGACACATTTTGACCGAGAAATTAACCTGACTTCACTTTTTTTGCCATTTTTTTTCATCAAGGTGGTAAGACAACTGTTTTTCCTTATTCCCTTGGTAGTTTTCTGACAGGAACCCACAGAGGCCCCACCAGTTTTTAATCAAGTGTGCCAAGGCTTGCCTGAGTGAAAGCTTGTGACCCCCTCTTGGGGAATCCCCACACAGGAACACTACATTGTGTTTGAACCCGCCCTATGTCATATATACTCTGTCCACAGTTCCAGGAGGAATAGAACACAACATCATACAAAGAGATGGTTGCTACTAGGCATTGCTGAAATAGAAATACTACAAAATGTGCAGACGATATGACAAAAAGTTCACAGAAGTCAGACTTACAAATGACACACTCATGGATACTTATGCACTAACTCTGCAGATAGGACAGATACTGCCAATCTTATAAACACATAAATAGAATAGCAAGGAATAAACCTTACCAAAGACATAAAAGACCTCTAAAATGAACACCAAAGAAAGAAATCGAGAAGGCACTAGAGGAAAGACCCTTGTTCTTGAACTGGCAGAATGAATGTAGAGCAACTGACTATGTAACAAATGCAGTCTACAGATTCATTGTGTCACCACCAAAACTCTAGCCACCTTCTTCTCACAAATAGCAAAATCAGTCTTGAGATTAAATGGAGCTCAGATGACCCCACATCCAAGGCGATGCTGAACAAAAGTCAACTGGAGGAGCTGCAGCCAAATTTCTAGTTACTTAACAGAGCCCGGTTAAGGAAAAGACATATTTATATGTATGTGTGTATATATACACACATACATATAAAGTAACATATAAAGATGTTAAAACATACATTTGAGAAGAGACAGCCTTGTCAACAAATAGCACTGGCAAAACTGGATCACTATATGCAGAAAAAGAAATTATTTATGTCTCAGTGTAGGCTTACATTTCTCCCCAAGCCTACTTTACACAGGTTCTTAAGCACCTTTACCTCCCTTCTAACCTTCAGGCTATGGATAGTAACCAGTAGCCTTGGAAGTAGTTTGTGATATTTGTGGGAACCTTGACCAATGACTCGACATGATGTAATGACACTCATTACATTCCTGGCACTCAAGGAAACCTAATATCTTTCTTGATAACATAAGCTGTCTCACTGGGGCACTGTCTTCTCTACTATGTGGTGACTCTATTGAAATTCCTGTCATACACGTATAAGTTTTAGGGTGCTACTGTGGTAGTGAGGTTGGATATGTTTTTTCAAATGGCTTCAATGCTCTTTGTCTCTCCATTCCTGTTATGGAAGATGCTGAAGGAAGAACTTAAGATAAACTGTAGGAACAAGGGAAAGAACTGGAAAGGTGTAGCTACAGCAGCTGCTAACCCATAGTCTGTAATCTCTAGGGCTGCAAAACATCTTGGGAACTAGCAGATTGAGGAGTAGAGAACGATTCCAAGAGGCAGCTTTTGCAGATACTAATGTTTAATTCAGGGCCCAAACATCTGTGTCTCAGCAATGTTCCTCAGGAGAGCCTCTTCCCAAATTCTATACCACTGAGTGAGTCCTGTAGGTTACATGGCTTTTCAGATCCAGAGTTTACCCTGCATCGTCAGAAGAGCCACTTCATATCACAACGACCCTGTCTTTTACAGCAACTATAGCAAAGACCCCAGTCAAGGCTCCTGAGCCATTCCAGCACCACAGGAATTACCACCTGTACTGGCTCCTTTTATGACAACTAGAAACTAGTTAGAGTCAGCAGAGCGGCAGGAGAGTCAGTTGAGGCAATGCCTCCATGAGATCCAGCTGTAAGGTATTGCCTTAACTAGTGACCAATAGGTAGAGGGCCCAGCCGACTGTGAGTGGAGCCATCTCTGGGCTGGAAGTCCTGGGTTCTGTAAGAAAGCAGGCTGAGCAAGGCATGGGGAGCAAGCCAGTGAGCAGCACCCTCCATGGACTCTGCCTCAGCTCCTGACTGCAGGCTCCTGACCTGCTTGAGTTTTTATCCTGATATCCATTGGTGAAGAACAGAAATATAGAAGTGCAAGCTGAATAAACCCTTTCCTCCCCGACTGGCTTTGTGATCAGAGCCTTTCATCAGGAAAATAGAAACTCTAACTTAATCGGATCATCAAATACAGTTTTTCATGGTTGCTCATTATGTGTGTGTTTTTTGTTTGCTTGTTTTTGTTTTGTTTTGAGGTAGTGTCCTTTGTAGCTGAGGGTAGCCTCAAATACACTACCTAGCTGATGGTGTCCCTGAACTCCTGATATTCCCCCTCTGATCAGACAGTCATTGGTTATTACATTTGGGGGAGGATAGTGTATGTTCTCACTGTGAAGATGAAGAAACTGACAGCAATGGTGTTAGGAAGGTAAGATTTTCTAGGACAAATTCTCCTTTTCCAGGTCAAAAATATTAAGGTCTCACTTTATTATTACTGATAAGATGAAGAAACATGCAAATCTTAATGACATTATATTGGGACTTGAACTCTTTCATTTATAACTTAGTTCGCTGCTATTTTGTAAACTTTCAAAATTAATCATTGCTGATTTACAATATAACAGAGACCAAACAGGAAAAAAAAATCTTTTTTGATATTTTGCACAAAAAAGTTCTTTTTATATTTATAATTTTTATTTAAAAATTAGACAATTCCATATATTTATATAATGCATTTTAGCCACACTCCCCCACCCCAGCCAGCCCACATTTCCTATCTCACTTACAGTTGCTTCAACTACTTCTTTTTACAGGTTTCTTTCTTATGGTCATATCTTTGGGTTTTGTCTTGTGACTCCCAGAGTTTAAACAGAGCTGTCTGTGTGATCCTGGGCTTCAGACATTCCAGTGGAGCCTGGCAGGCTCAGAAGTGAGGATACATGTGAAATCAGTGACAGCCTCACTCCCATGATCCCCCAGTAGCAGGTAGTTCTGAGAATGGGGGTGGGGCCATTGTGTTTCTCTGTGATCCTTCCCTTGCTGATGAGGGGCCCAGTGTTCTGCAGGTAGCTGTGGTGTTGGGAGACAGCCCATGGTTGCCCTGGCTGTGTCATGCCCACCATATCGCATTTTCAGCCCTTCTCATCTTCTGGCTCCTGCACACTTTCTACAATGTCCTAAGCTTTGGAGGGGGTGCTGTAGGTGTCCTGTTTGGGGCTAAGCCCTCAAGTATCACTTAGTCATGGTACTGTGAGCAGCCATGGGTCTCTGCATTCACCACTGTTCACAGTGATGGAATCTTCTCTGGGTGATGCTGGCTGTAGCAGTTGTCCATGAGTATAATTACAAACATTCAGAAGACAGTTTGGAACCACATCTATTTAAAGAACTGTAGAAACTTTCTCACCCAGGACCTGAGAACTTCCAGTTTCTTGTGGTGTAATCTCACATAAGTACATGTGAAGAGGATACTCATTATAGAAGCTAAGGCCACGTGATTCTTCCAGAAGCCCCACGATGAGAGCTCAATGCCCTGCATTGTCAAGAACTCTTCACCAGAACATCTGAAATTCAACACATACAAAGTCAAAGGTTATTTACTATATTCACTGATACTTCCCTTTAAAAAACATGGTTTCAACATATCATTAAAATTTTCTTCTTTATATTTAATAGACATCATTAGATGCTTACAATTTTGTTATATTTTATGCTAATCAATGTAAACAACTTGAATCAGGTACCTTAGTTAATTTAAAAAACAATCTAAATGGGAGTAGTTAGCACATGCACTTAAAAGTGTAACGGCAGCAGGCTTAAAGAATTTGGCCACATTTACAGAGTCACGCCATCATCCAACTTGTAGACTTACAAGGTCACAAATACATGTCTAAATCTACAAGGCTGCTCTCTGCAGGGACAAAAGCACCGATCACGTTCTTGCTCCTCCTGAAGCAGAAATCCTCAGCTGCTATAGACACATAAACATCTTCTAAAGAGCCCAAAGTTTTGTGCAATTCTGCTGAGCCATGAGACAGTCATGTGAAAGAACACAGCACGGAATTCTCTACCAGGGAGATCAAGGGTTTCTGACAGGAGTCTGTCAGTTCCTGTCAGCTCCTGCACTAAGGCTGCAGTGACAACCGCAGATGCTTAGCTATAGGACATCCCCAGCAGCTTTGCTGACAGTGGAGCCTGGGTGACAGTGGAGCCTTAGCAGACTGGGAGCACAGCAGGATGCCATGGTCCTGACACAGGGTACAAAAGCAGCTGCTGAAAATTCTGCAAACAGCTACAATCACTGCTGTGCAGTTCCACCCCTGTGTCCCTCCACTCCCTTGTATCTCTTGGATTTGGCAGCTCACAAATCTGCTGAAAGAGCAGATTTCTTCTTTTCTCTTCCTTTTGTGAAGACAAACCTGTGAGGACGACATCATCTATGTCCTCCTATCCAGAAACTGATCAGTAATTTGTATTAGACAGGTGCCAGACCACACTAGGAGGGAGCAGAAATAAGATCCCCACAATACAGGTTATCTCAACAGTAATTCAAAGCACAAATTTGCATTTCTATTGTTCATTATTATTTTGAATATCCATGAGATGTAATATGAGCTTATTCCTCTCTCGTTTAGATATCAAAATCAAATTATGAGAACGATCCTAGAAAGTGAAGATATTGAAACTTTACAACGATACGCTCCAATTTTATTTCAAAATCTGTGTTTCTATTTTTGTATTTCATTTTTTATTTTTATTATTAGTTACATTTTATTAACTGTCTGTTTCTATTTTAAAGGCATTGGACAAAAATGAGATTTCCATCCCAAAATACTGAAATATATGATTCTTCAATTGCAAGACATATCCTCTGATAGAACATTTCATACACACACAGACAGACAGACACACACAAAGACACACACCCCTTTGATTTCTTGAAGTCTTCCAGTGTGTGAAGCAGAGAGAAGGCCTGAATGCTGGCAGGCAGAGCTCACCACAGTTCACTCTTGCTGCTCTGACATTCTTGGGCTTGGCCCACAGAACTGTAATCTATACACATACAAACTCTGTGCCCTTGCAAGACTATGAGAGCAGCCAAGGTCCAACTCAAATGTCTGAAACAAGGAACTCAAATCCACAACCAAAACACCAAGACCACTTGTCAAGAGGCCCCAAAGAGCACTTCCTGCATATTATCTACACCGTGGAGAAGAAGGGTCCAAACACATTCACATGACTCACTCTGGGAAAGAGGCATAAAACAGGGTTAACCCTGAAAGGACAGGCTGCCCTCTGAGTGTACTAGCATCCTGTGTCCCCACTGAGGCACTGAACCCAAGCTTACATTACTTGGTCCTGACATCTGCTGAGTTCTTCTCCATTGTGTTCTAGACAGAAGGTTTGTCCCAAGAATTCATTGTGCAACAAAGCCTGTAACACAAACAGGAACACAGAAAGACAAATAATTTTATATTTCCAAAAGTTTCCTTAAGAATAAATACAGCTGACTTCAAGTTCAATCTTTACTGGTATTTGCAATTGTTCTTAAACACAAAACCTAACAGGTTTACATTCTGCCCAGCAAAGCAATTAGGAGGCTTAGGATTGAAATGATGGTGCTTCCAATCAACTAAGAGAAGGGTTTTCTAACTACATTACCCCAGACCTCCTCCTCCCATACCCTCTAATTCCATAACTGGGTAAACACTATAATTGAAACAACACAATTCATTGAGTGAATGCTACTGATTTATAGTAACAATATTGTTTGCTTTTCATCAAAACAATGGTGACTTCGGGAGTTAGAAAGTATTTGAAGACACATTTTCCTGCAGAGATATGCTTGTAAAGTCAATAAGGATATTGTATCACATGATTTGTTTCTTTTAACTTCCTGATATGAACTATATATCATAGTCTCTGATCCTTTTATCCTTTCCTTTTTTTGGCAGAAACACAGTGATAGGTGCAGAGGAATTTTAATTTAGAACAAGGCTGCTCTGGCAAGAGAGCGCATCCAAAGACCTTCTAGGTCTGTGTGATCCAGCAGGAATACAAACACACCTTTAATCCAGGAGAAAGAGGCAAGCAGATTTGGGTTCAAGGACAGCCTGGTAAAGAGCAAGTTTCAGGTGAGAAAAAAAAACAAAAAAAAAAAACAAAAAACAACTTAGTACCAGGTGTGGTGGTACACATATTTAATCCCAAACAATGAAGGAAAAGTTAGTTTGTAGGAGGAAGCAGCCATGTTTGATTATGTTGTGTAATTGCGTAACAGAGAAAGTAACCAAACAGAGAAAGATTTGAGAGAACAGGATATGCCCAACTCTCACAAGAACAGAAAGTGATGCTACTTAAGGGAGCAACACAGAGAATGAGAGAGTGAAGGCAGTTTTAAAGGGTCAGTAAAGAGAGACATTGCAGAGAGAGAACTCAGGTGAATACCAAATGAGCCAGAGAAGGAAAAGGAGTCAGGAGATTAGAGCAGATTGCTTGAGTTAGTATGAGGCCAAGCAGAGCAACTCAAGGGCAGAGAGAGAAGCAAGTTTGGGTAAGTCAGCTGGGCGAGGAGTTGGATCCAGAACAGCTGAGTTGAACCAGCCAGCCCAGAGCTCAGTAAGAGCAAGAATGGGTGAGCTTATTAGGCAGTAACTCTCAGAGGCTGAAAATGTTCTAGGCCTAGGTTAGAGTGTACAGATGCCAGAAGCTTCCAGGACTTGGCCTAGGTTCGCAGACAGAGGCAGTAAGTCTCAAGATAACAACTGAAACAAGCAAATGAAAGTTCCTTTTCCATGTGTATTTTTCCTCCTGTCGTCCACCTTTTCTCTTTACTCTGAGATTTCTGTCAGCTTTCATTTCCTCAAATAACCCAGATGACTTATTGACCTACAGCTAACTAACACTTATATAAATATCCTCCTCTCTTGCTCCTGGAAGGATCTTCCTGGGTCGTAGCTGCTTAGAGCCTACAGCTGGGGAAAGGGCACAGTTGAGATTTGTTACCTTTACTGCAGTTGGAGGACGCTGTACAGTGCCAGAGAGGACAGTTTACCTGGAATCCATAGTGAGGGATGTTAAAGTACTGAATCCACAAGAGTGCAGGCAGTAAGCTTCCAAAACATAGGGACAGACCTGAGAAAAACTACAGAGAGCAGAGCCGTGAGTCAGAAATAGCCAGGTGACAGAGACATCTACAAAAGAGCCTCTGTCTTCAAGACCCCTACATCCTTCTGACCATTTCTGTTCAGATCAGACTTTTTCTTTAAACATTCTTTCAGCTCACTCCAGACAGAAGCCTTCACTCTTGGTCAAGCCAGAACTCTCCATGTGTTTAAAATAGGACCTGATTCCCAACTCTGCAGAAGCCAAACCCTATGGAAGCTTACATTACATTGAAAGTGGCAGGTAACCTACGCACATGCTCTATACTTAAAATACATCCGCACCACATACGTGAAATCCTCCTTATCATATCTAATTGTGTAGCTCTATAGTTTATAGTGCATAGTTCAGGGGATGGAGATGATCAGAGCAGATCATTATTTGTTTCATATATTTTCAATACATGATTAGATAAATCTTTGACAATATGACAGGCGAAGCATAGTGATGATTGTAATAAAACTGCTGCCATCTACATCAAGGAACACATATTGGAAGAATGTTGTCCTGCCTCTTTTCTGTCAACTTGACACAAGCTAAATTCACTGGAAAGCAGCAACCCTCCATTAAGAAAATGCCTCTATGAGATCAGCTGAAGTCAAGCCTGGGGGGCTTTTCTTTATTAGTGACTGATCGAGAGGACCCAGCTCAGAGTTGGTGGTGCCATCGCTGGCTGGTGGTACTGGGTTCTATAAGAAAGCAGGCTGAGCAGCCATGGAGAGCAAGCCAATAAGCAGCACCTCCATGGCCTCTGCATCTGCTCCTGCCTCCAGGTTCCTGTCCTGCTTGAGTTCCTGTCCCAACATCCTTTGGTGGTTAATAGTGATGAAGAAGTGTCAGCTGAACACTTTCCTCCTTAGATTGTTTGGCCATACTGTTTCATTGCTGCAGTAGAAATCCTAACTATAATAAACACTGAACCTCATAAACCCACTTCTTCTCCCAAAGATAAATAGGACTTTTTATTTACAAGAATTTTCAGTCTCTATTCATGACTTTGGGAGTAATTTGGAATTCAATTAAAATACAACTTAAGACAACTTGAAGCTGAGCACTCATAAACTGCACAATGAGGAAGAGCAGAAAATGTGCCCAAAGCCCCACTTAAGACCCCTCAAACCTCAGCATCCCAACAGAGGGGGCAGAAAGGACAGGTGGGGACAAACAAGAGACAGCTGTGACGGTCGCATAAAACTTGCCCTATCTGGTCGTCAGTATCCTAGACCATCAAAACAATGGCTGTGGGGACCTGCATTCTGACTTGATTGCAGCAAATGCTCCCACACCATATACAGCATCTGGCTTCAGACCCAATTCCTATGAACATTCAGGTTCCCCAGCTACCAGCCAACACCAACGGCAGCAGATGGCTAAAGGCCAGAGTCAGAACACACTCAACAAGGGCCAGGGCACTACAGTGCCAGCAGGGACCAGCTGTCCTAGCAGAGCAAGTCCTAGATATCCTGACATGGGCAAAGCACAGAAGGATGACCTTAAATCCAACCACAGCAGAAATGATATGAACATCAGCACACAATGCTCTACTTACAGATAAGCTTGGTGGGAAATATGGAATCTGGTTGGGCTTGTCTGGTGACTGATATGCATTAAGTGTGTAATTTGTGGACATGGAGGACTAAGACTGGGCAACCAGTTTTACAGAGATAGCAGAAGCATGCCCACACATAGTCCGACTTAGTTGTGCGGACTTAGTTGTGTGGACTATTCCTAATGCTTTTCAGGACCTGGGCGAACCTGAGATAGACTCCTCCTGTAGAAGACATACATTGCTCAGGACCTTCGCTTTCCCATGTGTGGCTAGTGAATAAACCAAGCCTTCTCTTCTGTCGTTAAAATGGCAGGCAAGTCTCCTACACCGGCAAGAAAGCAAGGCAGCCATCTGTTCCTTCTGTGAGGGAATCAGCCAATCACAGCAGGTTCCTAAAATTCCTGTTCATTATGGTTTTTTAATAGGAACCCAAGAAATGTTTTCTGAAAGTGCATGTTAACTACATCATAGAAATATGTGAGAGGAGTAGCCAGGAAGGAGGGGCAAAGGTGACTCCATTTCCATTACAGACCATAATAAGCTCCAGCATAAGGCCTCATTGTCCAAGCCCTGATTTATCAGTTGGGTTATGGTATGTAATGTGAGAAGGAACACGAGGAAATCTTTTCTCTCAGAAGATCCCACTCACCATCATGAACACAAAGTAGATGGTCACCAACCGTGTTCGCACAGGTGAGGCTTTCTCCCCTGTGTGTACAGACAGTGACAGGGAGCTGGCAGAATAAGTCAGCAGCATGACGGTGAGCATTATAGCGAAGAAGCCCTTCACACTTGATATTAATCCTCAGAGAGAAAAGAAGTGCATCAGTCTGGCAGCCAGGTCAACGGATTTGTACAGGTTTCAGACAAACACTTTCATCATCAGAGGGACTCCCGAGAGCTTCACAGTTATATCTCCAGCATCATTATTTCCTTCCATGTGACTGCATAAGACCTGTTCTCCTTCATACATGATTGATGACATTCTGACTAGGAGAACTGCAGGCACTCAACTGGCCAAAATCCTACCGCCTTCTCCCAAGTGTGAATCACAATTTCAAAAGCTCGTGTCCACATTCCACTGTGATTACTCTAATTTCACTAGTCATAAAAGTGGGATGAGGACTGAGCCATTTTGGTCATTTTAGCACAAGCTAGGGTCACAAGGAAAGAGGGAGCCTCCTCAGGAGAATACTCCTCCCAGACTGTGAGGTCTCACATGGGTGTGGGAGCGCCCAGGCTGGGCAGGAGGCCCTGGATTACAGGAGGAAGCAGGACAAGTGAGCCATGGCAACTAGCTGGCAGGCAGCACCCTCCAAGGCCTGTGCCCTTTTCTGCCTCCAGGCTCCTGCCCTGAATTCCCTTCCCGACATGCTGTGAGCTCACAACAGTGAGCTAAACAACCACAGGGTGGCTTTAGCCTTAGAGGACAGAGGCGCCTCCACCTCAGTTTCCCCAGGAAATCACCACAAAACTGCTGAGCAGGAGGGCAGCAGGCCTCCTGGGCAGATGTGTAGCCTGTGTGGAGCGGAAACTCAGAGTCACACATCGTCCTGTGTTTCTGTAACTGTCACAAGCAAACAGGGTACAGACTGGGGAGCTGAGTTCCCAGTTGCTTAAAAGTGTCATTAATGTTGTTATTGTGTGCATAATGCATGAGTGTGTATGGGGGTGTGTGTGTCATGGCGAGTATTTTTCATATACTGCACCTGTCATGATGCACAAGAGGGGTTGAAGGGCAGCTTTCTGGAGTGATTGTCTCTTCCACTGTGGATTCTGCAGCTCATACTCAGGGTATAGGCTTGCAGGACCAGCACATTTACCCATTAGCCGTGCCATGACCTAAAAGACTGATCCTGGGAGATAAATCTCTTCTCAAACCAAGTCTAAGCTTTATGAGCACTTGTTTTTCATTGGTGTGCCTGTGTGCGTGTGTGTGTACACGTGGGTGTGAAAAGTATGGAAATTCTACAGTCTAGGGTGAAGCCAAATTGTAGTGCACCAATGAATCTGTGTCCTTAGTTTGAGCCAAGGTTTATATTATATAATTTCAATGAATCATTATTCAGTGTCCTCTCTCTTTATAAGATGGTAGCACAAGACAATGCATACATTAGGAGTTTACACACATACACATATTTGTGAGATATTATCCACTTTGTGTACTTTATTTTCATGTAGACACACTTATGCATGAACCCGGAGGAAGCACACAGCTGAGACGTGGCTCAGCGTTTAAGAGGAGCCCAGGGTTCAGGTCCCAGCAGCACATGGTAGCTCCTTCTCCTGTAACTCCCCTTCCACACTCAACATCCTGTTCTGGCCTCCATTCAGTTAGTGCACGTGTGTGCACACAGACACATATGCAGGCAAACACGAAAATAATAATAATAAAAAAAAAGCTTCACAATACACGTGGATAGCTATTTAGTAAATGATTTTGCTCTCTTGGCACTGCCTGAAGTGTGAGTTATTCCTACACTCATTATAACACACAGAGGAACTTAGTGAAACCACGGTTTCATTAACAACTTTTGGTGTTCCTTTTGAACAAGTCTTGGAGCCTCTCCTCAGGCTGAACACCTGTTTGGCCAGCACAGGGTGGAGACATGCTTTTCTACTTGAAGGCTTGCCACAGTTGTACAGACCACAACACACTCCTAACAGACACAAGACCTGCTCTCTGATTTGTTCCTTACCTGCTATGCCGAATGTTATGGGAGTAATGAGAACAGTTCGCAGTAACCGCCTGGGTCCCAGCTCCGCCAGCAGCTTCCCAAGGAAGTACGGCAGCACTCTGTAGTACCCACTGGTGTGCTCGTGTCTGCGGAAACAACAGGACCCGTCACACATCCTAGGTTAGTGCAAAAGGCACAGGTGAGATGCTGGCTACACTGACCTCTGCTACCTCAGGAGCTGACAGGACAGTGTCCCCTGTGCTCCCAGCTGACACACACACACCCCGTCTTAGAGACCAGCACCCCCAGGCCACCACCCTCAGGACATCTCACTATGACTCCCCATCAGAGAACTCTCCCATCTTCCACTCTGGCACAGAGCAGCCCCTGTAGGGAAACAGGCCACTGTCCCCACTCTCCTCAGACTCTGCTTCCTGAGGAGCAGCACTCAGCACCCCACCTCAGACTGTGCTCACAGAGACTCCTATCCGGCCCCTTCTTAGGGAGAAGGTGACACTGCCACTCTGAGGTCACTGTGCAGCACTATGCCACCACATCCTTCTCTTCTGCATCTCTCACTGGAGAGACTTCTTCCTCCATTAATCTCACTCTACACACGACCCCTTACCAGCTACCACACCTGGTCCTGCCCCTCCCAGCATCTTTCTCTAAGCCAAACTCTAAGCTCTTCCTACTCAGTGTCTTCATTCTCTCTCTCTCTCTCTCTCTCTCTCTCTCTCTCTCTCTCTCTCTCTGTCTTTCTTAGAAAGGACTGCTACTGCAGGCTGGCTTCAAACTCCACATGTCGGCAAGAATGTCCATCCTCCTGTCCTTGTCCTCATGACCTGGGAGCCAGGGAACACCAGCCATGCTGAGGCTTATGTGGAACTGTGAATCTACCCCAGCACTTCAAGAACTCTGCCAACTGAGCTGTACCCTCAGCTCCTCTCCAAGGACTCCTTTTCTTGGAGTTCTTTGTGTCTTTGAAGCAGTGAATCCTAAGCACAGGCCAGCAGGAGAGGGTGTCCCATGTTTGAACACCCAGGCATCCAACAGCCCTCTGCTGCATAGCTGCCTCTGGCTCTGCACAGTTGCTCTCTGGCTCTTCACAACTGCCCCTGACTCTGCCCACCTGGCCCCTGGCTCTGCACAGCTGCCCCTGGCTCTGTCCAGCCCTTCATCCTAGAGGGTTACTCTACTGCCTCTGGGCAGTTTTGCCTCCCCAACTCTCATTTGCTGCTAAATCCAGGACACATAAGCTCCATCAAGCCCCTGACATACTTTGGGGGGTTCAGGAGTGAACTGTGATTTTCCACCCCCTACTGCTGCTTTTTCTGCAGCACTGAGGTCTGAGGACATCAACCCTGATCTAAAATTTTCAAGGAGCTGCAGACACCTCTGCTCTTGATTTCCCATCCATTTTTCCAGGTATCATTAGTAATCCCTTTCCACCCTGCAAAACACATGGTGAACACCAAATTTCATAACTTGTCTAGTTTTGAAATGAACAAGGACAAAAGAAAAAATATGATAATTCCTGATGTCACACTCTAGGCCCATCTCCAAGTTTGATCACCTTGATGAGGAACAGCTGAGTCCTGCGGGAGGACGGGCTACTCACAGAAAGCGATCCCTGTCAGTCACAAAGAGCCTCCCTGCAGATATGCTGGTGATGCACTGGAAGCCTGTGAGCAGGTAAAGGAGGCCGGCCCTGCAGGAGACAATGGAGGCAAAAGCAAACTGTAAGTTCAAAGTTAGCACAGTTTCTTCCCACCCGAGCTTGTTTGGCAGAATAAATGACATCACACAGAATTTTGTTTAAAAGAAAAATAAAATAAAAGTAGGGCTAGAGAGACAACTCCCCAGGAAAGAGTGCTGGTGGCTCTAGCAAAGGCCCCAGGTTTGGTTGCCGACACCCAGGCTGTGGGTCACAACCATGTGTCTTTGCTGGAGTTCCAGGGATCCTGTGCTGGCGAGTTTTATGTTTCCTCGACAGAAGCCAGAATTAGCCGAGAACAGAAAACCTCAACGGGTAAATGATTCCAAAAAAAAAAAAAAATGCAGCTTTGGGCACACCTGCAGGATATTTTCTTAATTAGTGATTGGTGGGGGAGGGCCCCGCCCATGGTGGGTGGAACCATCCCTGGGCTGTGGTCCTGGGTTCTGTACTGAAGCAGGCTGAGCAAGCCACTAAGCAGAGTCCTCCATGGCCTCTGTATCAGCTCATGCCTGCAGGCCCCTGCCCTGTTTGGGAGCTTGTTTTGACTTCCTTCACTGATGGGCTACACCATGGAAACATAAGCCAAATCAACCCTTTCTCCTCAAGCTGGCTTTGGTCGTGATTTTTAACAGAGTAACAGTAACCTCAACCAAGACAGATTTCCACGCCCTCATCTGATCGACTTGGGCACCAGGGCACACACGTAGTGCACAGACATACATGCAGGCAAAACTCACGCACATAAAAAATTACATAAGTAGTTTTAAAAAGAAAGAAAATTAAAATGTAGGGCTATTCTGGTTTAAAAAAACAATGGTGGGGGGAAGGAAGGGAGGAGGTTGTCAGAAGGTGTGAGTCCTATGGGGCATTCGCCCTCTCTGTCTCTACAGTGCTTTCTACTGCTATAGTGGGTCCTCTAAACCCCAGCAACATGACAACGAGCCCTAATGTCACCACCCTTGAGTGTGTCCTTTCTGAGTTAACTAGTTTCAGATGAAATCATGAAAGTGGATTCCCATAGTGTCAAGCGTCATCTGTGTCCTCACAGGGGAGAGATAGCAACAGAGTCTCTGCCATGACAGGGCTCTGAGGGAAGGAGCCAGACAGGAAGAGCCCAGTAGAGAATCCTCACTCAGAGAGAAGGGGAGAGCCTGGGAGAGAATCCTCACCTCAGAGAAAAGGTACAGAGCCCTGGAGAGAAGGGAAGAGCCCTGGAGAGAATCCTCACCTTGGACTCTCCTGCTGCACAGTGTAGACACATTTATTTTTAAATCCACTAAGCTGTGGTATGCAGTCATGGCAGCCCAACCTGTCACTTCAATTAACTAACAAAATCAGTCACTATCATTCCTAATACAGAGAAGAGGAGAGCAAAATACAGCTCCAAGGTGTTTTCACATTCAGTTAGCCTCTTCGCTTTACAGATGAGCAAGAATAAATAATCATGAAACAGTGGTGGGAAACCAGCTCAGCAGCTTACTATGGATACACACAGAGAGTCACCTTTAAAGGTTTAATGATCATCCCTGAAACAGGCCAACCATCATAAGCAAAATAAATAAATCCAGCCATGCTTATGTGTAAGGAAATAATTTGTGTTCAAGTGATAAGGGTAATAAGAAGGAAGAAGGGGGATAAAAGGCCTCCTGGGGCTGTGTGTTTCCTGGACACATATGTCAGGTTCCTCCAAGACAAATGGTGTGATTGGCCTCCTAACAGACTGATACATAGCATATTTTCAAATGGTCAGGACTCAGTGACTCTCTTTGTATGGGTACCCAGTGGTAGACAGATATACAGATCAGATGAGAGACAAGTCTCCTCCTACATAAAAAAAATTTCCAGTTTTTTACAAGCTACCAAAGGCCATTTTAAAGCAAAGTGTGGGGGGAAAAAACCTGAGAATGCAATTAATGCTCTGGGAATAGGAACAAGCATGGCCTCCAGGACTCACCCAACCTGTGAGGCAGAAGCAGAAGGACTGTTGCAGAGTCAGGCCAGCCTGGGCTGCAGGGCCAGCTCCAGGCCTGTCAGGTCACAACTGTGGTTCTCCCTCAAAGGACCAAATGAGAGCAGAGGACCCGGGCTCCCTGTGACCAAACATGGAGCAGAGGTCCTGAATCTGCCTCCTCTCCTGAGGAGCCAATCTTGCTTTGCAAGGCTCACCTCTGTTCCCTCTACACTCCTAAATGCACAACTCTCTCTCTCTCCACTCCTCCATTCCCACACACACATGATCTGAGGTGCTCAGCATTCTCCCTTTCTCTGTCTCCAATAAACTGTCTTCAAGTTCTCAGCTGTGTTTACTTTTCTATGTTTTTATCGACAAAACCAAGAATTTAGGAAGGGAACCTCGTGGCCCTGGCTACAGTTAATTGTATGTGTCACATCTACTTACTGATCTGATTTTTAAATATTATAGTTATAGTAACTGTAACAAATTACAGTTACATATTTAAGGTATAAAAGAAATATAATTTATGAACAACTCTGTGAAATAATCATAACAACCTGAATTAGGTGATCTCCATTTCCAAAAATAGACATCTTTTTATTGACCCTATTTGAGATATATCCTTTGACATGTGTAGTATATTGAATGTGCTCTCAATTTATTTCAATAGAAAAGAATTGTACTTCTCCAGTTTAGCAGATTTTATACTCTCAGCACAGAAGTGTCTCCTCACCCCACACTGCCTTTGGCAATCAACACTGTAAGACATGCTGCCTGGAGGTCGGTTGTCTAATAATCCACAGGCTTGTGAACCCTGTGTTTGTCTTTCTCTGCTGGGATTATTTTACTTTGGGTGATGTTCCTCAAACCTTCAGTTCTGTCCCCAATCTTCAGTTCTACACATATTGCGATATACCCCATTTTAAAGATAAGCAGCACTCCAGTTCCCAGTTTCCTCACCAGTTACCTGTGCTACACACTTAAGCTCCAGCCCTTGGTCACTGTACAATGCTCCAGTGAGCTTCAGGCTGCAGATGCATTTGGGGAAATTCTTTCAGGGTGTGTGTGAGTACAAACAGGACAAATTCTAGGGTCTAATTACTTCCTTAATGTCATGTTCTTAATGTTCGGCTGCCACCTCAACCCAACAAGGTTGTCCGGCCACAGGAGCTCATACGCCACAGAGTCAAACCCAGCTCCTAGTTACCCAGTCAAACAAAGGGCGAAGGCAATGCTGGGCCCAAGCATGAGAAGTAGCTCCTGGCCTCTTGAACATTATTGCTGGTTTAAATACTGACATTGACCCCGACAGTAAGTGAATAGACGATGGTGAGGAATGTTTAAGTCCTGCTTAATTTACTGCTGCTGTGATGAACATGATAAACCAAGCAACTTGGAGAGCTTGGGGTTCATTTGGTTTCATACACCAGGTAACAGTCCATCCCTGAGGGAAACCAGAGAGGACTTAAGGCTGGAATTGTAGGCCAGAATGGAAGCTGAGGCCACAGAGGAGAGCTTCTACTGGCTTGCATCTCATGGCTTGTTCAGCCTGCTTTGTTGTACAACTCAACTGCCCCAGGCTGGCACTGCCCAGTATGGGCTGGTCTTTGCTACATCACTCATCAACCAAGAATATGCCCAGTCTTGTCTATAGATGCATTTTCTTAATTGGGGTTCATTTTCTCATAGGACTCTACACAGTGCCAAACAGACAAAAAACAAACAAACAAAAAACTGACAAGCACACTAACCAAAAGAATCAATGGCTACTCAGGAAGCATGAAATAAACCACACAAAAAGGTCACCTTCACACAGTCTGACTTCTAACTCACTGGTAGCAGAGGAAGCAAAAAACTTGAGAGCATTTCACAAATTCTGAAAGCATATGAAGATACCACTAATAAAGCTTGTCCTTCTTCTGCATTTCCCAAGAGCATTTCTTCCTCAGGCCTTCCAGAGTTTACTTCTGAGTGCTTCCTGTGACAGCGACTACACTGTGTCCCTGTGCTTTCTGCTGTGCTGGCTTAAAATGTGCCATGCCCACAGGGCACAGCCCAGGCACTGGCAGGTTTGGAAAGTGTTCAGGCCATGGACTTAGGGAGGTGACAAGAGGGTAGCCCAGAAACAGCTGCAAGAATCCACTCACTGCAGACCAAGGTCAGGTCCACACAGATGAGAACTCACATAGCACCTGGGGTTTATGCTTCTGCTCATCAGTTTTCCCACACATTAAGTCAGACATGTGGGGCTGGGCTGGTGGCCCATTCAGCAAGGTGTCTGCCATGCAGTCATAGGACCTTTGTTCAGAACCTAGACCCATTGTGAGAGTTTCACATCGGAAACTCAGTGCTGATGGACACAGACAGGGACACGTGGAACTCACTGGTCAGCCAGCCAAGCCAGCCAGTGAGCTCTAGGTTCTGAGAGAGACCCCACATCGAAAGACAACATGCAGAGTCATCAAGGAAACCTGGCATTAACTTCTGGCCTCCAGTACAAAAACATCTATGTTGACCCACACTCCATGTAGATACACCCACATAAACATGAATGTACCCCACACAAACATGTACAAAGAACACAGCATACTACACACATGTACACAAACACATTCACACAAATACACACTTATATGCACAAATACATAACACTTACACATACCCTTACAAAATCACACACATTCACACCCTCTGATACACACACACACACACACACACACACACACACACACTCAAGAGAAGCTTCCTAAAGTCTCTTTAACCATTGAGTCTTTCTGGCCGTTGTGAGGACCCTGAGGCTATGGACATCTTACAGGAACACAGCACAGAGCAGAACAGTTTGCCATCTGTTGGTATAATGTTCTTTTGGAATGTCTACACTTTACCCTTGTTCATTCAAATGCTGATTTCTCTCCCCCACTCTCTGGTTTCAAATGGACATTGCATTGTGATTCTTATTCTAAGCATCACCTGTCTCAACTTTGTGTAAACATGCCAAAATAAAGCAACTAGACACAATGTTGAGCAATGGAAAGGAAGCAGGAAGAGAGGGGGGGAGCCAGAGTACAGGAAGATGGGAGGCAGAGTAGGAGAGAAGGGCAAGAGAAAGCTGAGAGAGAGAGGAGAGGTGGAAAGATCTTGGAAGTAGGTGGAGAGATTGACTCGACCTAAGATTTCAAAAAAGCAAGTATATTCAGTGAATCTAAATGTGAGGAAACTATGAGGGCTTGGAGGTTTAGGATGGAGTAACTATTGCCCAGCATTGTGTTCTAGGTTAATTAAATAAATCCCAGTCTCTGTGTGGTATTTGGGTATACAGCTTTTTAAGATAAACCACAGCTTACCAAAAGATATATCAATAGTAAATTATAATTTTATCCTACAACAGCATCCCTAAACTACAGGGCATCTTTTGACAATGCTGTTACACCGACTATGTTTGGAACATGCTATAGTTCAACATGAATGTGCATCTTTAAGGTTACATTACTGTTCAAACTAGACACAAAGCACAAAGGTGACATCTGTATGACAAGTCAGGATGGCTGAGTTCTGTCCTAGCACCCCACACTCACATTCAAAGAAACAAACACAACCAGTCAAGACAAATGGCTCCAAAGCAGCAAAAGAAGAATAAGTAGGTAAACTAAAAACTTTCATGTCCCATGGGCATCAACAACAGAATAAAAAGGCAACATGCAGAAGGGGAAAACAAGTACTTGGATCATGTATCAGATGACGGGTTCATGTCCCAGAAACAAAATTAACTATAACTCAATAGCATGGAAAGTGAGAGGCAGGCTAGAGGCTTCAGCAGTTGAGATGGCTGCAGCCAAGCTTGATGACCTCAGGACAATCCCTGAGGCCCTGTGTTACCTGGACCAGCTCTTACAAGCAGTCCTTTGTCTGATGCGTGCTTGCTGTAGGACACACATGTCTACATTCAAACACACACTAAGCAAACAAATCAATGGTTTTGGGATGAAAGAAAAGATGCCCATTTAAAATGATAAAATGGGTTCTGCAGACAATTGATACAGCATCCAATGGACTGAGACTTATTTTCTTAGATCTCTCGTTAAAGAAGAGAGAACATAAGTTTAGGAGAAGATGTGGACAATCAGGAGCCCATGTCTGCTGCTGTGAGAATATAAAATAGTGCAGTGGTGGTGGAGACAAGAAAGCCCTTCCTCAAATAATTAACACCATGACCATATGACTTGGAAATCCAGCTTTCTGTCTTAAGAACTGAAAATCTGGATTCAAGCAGATGTGCTTGCCCACTCAGCAGCAGCAGTCATATGAGCCAAAGGTGAGAGCAACCTGCATTTCTAGCCACAGACAAAGGGAAGCAGCATGTTCCCACATTATTCAGACAATTACTCTGCCTTACAGAGCCCCACACCTGCCACACTGTGCTGAGCCTGAGAACATTATGCTCATGGAAAAAATTCAGCCGAAATAATCAAGAACCATCAAAATAACAACAAGACTCCAATGATGCCAGTTCAGGGGTCCTTCGTAAGTCATACTCGAAGACAGAAAGCAAAATGGCTGCTGCCAGGAAGTGGGAGTGATTAGTATGGGGAGTTTTCTTTCAGAGATGTGGGACTCCATTTGGGAAGATGAAAACTTACACTAAAGTTATAGTGATAATCAATCTACATGAAACAAACCTACTCCATACAGTAAAAGTGGATAAAACCAGTTTCCTCCTGCTGGGTTGCCTCATCCAGCCTCCACATGAGGGTCTGTGCCTAGTCTTACTGTAGCTTGTTATGTCATGCTTGGCTGATGTCACTGGAAGCCCTGCTCTTTTCTTAGGAGAGGTTGAGGGAGGGAGGCATATCTGAGGTGGGGGGGACTGAAAAGAAGGGGAAATACAGTAGAGACATAATATTTAAAGAAATAAAAAGAATTGAAGAAACGTGAAATGTGTGTACAGTTTCATAGTATCCATGCACAAACATGTGGAAAAGTGATCCCTCAACTGTGCTTTCAGTGTACAGCACAGTCTACCACAGAATAAATGCTCACCTGTGCTTGTCACAAATTTCAGGTCTTAAAGGATTTATAAAAGTTTGAACAAAATGACAGTATTTTCTTGAAATCAGGATCTGGGCTTGCTTACCTAGTCTCGATTTCAATACAATCATTTTTTATTATGATCCAGAAAATGATTCCTACAGCAGCTGCCAGGAAGTCGGTGATAAGGGCCTATCAAAAAGCAAATGGGGGAAAAAGAAAAATCTTCATTAGGACTAAAAGGTCTTAACATATTGGTCACTGTTTTAAGATAGATGGTTTCCCAATGTGAGCTCCACAGTTAGATAAATACTAAGTTTAGATAAGATAAACATGATAACAGACCTCTTGTATGTTAAACTGAAAGTTAAGGCCTTGCAGTCTGTGGCTCTAACAGCACAGACCCTGGAGAAGCTAAGATTTCTCTCAGTGCCCCAACTGGACAGGCCAGTGTAGGGCTCATTTCAGATATGAAAACAAGGATGACACAGGGTGGGAGAGAATGCAGGCACCTTCAAGGTTGGGGATGGGAGGTCCAAATTTGAAATTTAATTCCTGGGGCAAGATGAATGTGGTTCTGGGTACAAGTTTAGACAAGGAAGTGGACAAGTTAAGAGACACCGGCCTGCCCTGCCTTAGGGCCTTGAAAGATATCTCTGCTTGGCAACCAGACCAGATGGCCAGCAGTCCCCACCCAGACAGTCCTGCCTAATCAGCATGTAACAGGACACTCCAGGCAGTGTGCATGATCAGATATTCCACAGATGGCCAGACCACTGTGGCCCTGGTGCTTAAAACACACCTATTATTTTAAAGCTCAAATTCCCTAAAGACCCTCTTACCCAATCCTATAATAAAAGGCTTGGACTTCCCGCTTGTGTTTTTTCCCTTTAAAAACCTTATTCCCCTAGACTGCTGAGCCTCACTCCTCCTTTTCAACTAGGGAGAAGGCTACAACCTGGGCTTGAGCTTGTAATAAAAGATCACCATGTTTTTGCAGCAGAGTTGATTCCTGATGTCTTTGTGGGTGTCACGAACTGGGCATAATATCTGGGGGCTGGTCTGGGATCCCCAAGACTCTAAAACCTGACTAGGAGGGTTTTATGCTTGGGGTAAGTGTCTAAGTGTCTTTGTGCAGTGTCTGTGTTTGTGTTTTCTCTCAGTCCTGAAAAGCCTCAAGGTGTCTGTACAACTGGCAAGACATGGATAGGAGTGGACGCACTGCCTTAGGGGATCAAGGAAGACATTCCTGGCCCTGAGGTGGACCAGGAATCCCAGTGTCAGTTACTCTCCTCCCTGGGTGTCTCTCAGATTCTGTGGCAGTAATCTGAGAGTCCAAGCTTTTGGATCTATTTCTGTTTACAGTTGAGGAACAGCTACTTTGTTCACTTCAGCCTTTCGATTTGGGTCCTTGTGTCTGTGTGTTTTGTTGGAGTGTGGGACTGTGACGAACACTATAGGACAGACTGCTTCTAACTCCCTAGACTTAACTCTTGCCCATTTTGGGGGGACCCTGGTCTGGCAGGTCTCTGCCAAGATTTGGTCTCTGCCACTGCTCCAGTCTCTGGTGGTGAAGGGAGTCAGGTTGCTAGTGAATGCAGCCCAGCCAGGGAGAGGCTTCTCTGTAGACAGGCAGCTCTTAAAGGGGCAACAGCAGCTTCTCAGGTAAAAAAGCTGCAAAGCCTCTCTGGTCATAAGAATTGGATTCAACAGGGAGCACGATCTTCCTTCCTTGAAATAACAGCTAAAGAAGTACAAATAAGTTTTGTAGTTTTGTCTGTCTACTTTGAATATGTAAGTTTCCTATGTTTTATATGTCTTGGTTACTGATTATAAGTTAGTGAGTATGTGAAGATTTTACATAAAACCTGTCCTGTCTTAAAAACAAGGATTATTAAAAATAAGGTTTGAAACTCTGGTTATATAAGATATTAAAGCAGCACCTCCATGTGTTTGTATACAAGAACTTTTCCTGCTGGCAGCCAAAGTTCATGACATCAAAATAATATGCTTGAGATTGACTTTAGAGGCACTGAATTGTTTACACTGATAATATTTGGTTTTTACTTTTAAAATTATGGTTATGCTTTGTGACTTCACTCCTAAAAAGGTACTTTATTTTAATATTGGAAAAACAGATTCTTCTAAAAATGTGTTCATTTTAATGTTGCAAAAACATGTTTTGAAGAATGTTTAAGGCTATGAAACATTTTAAAGTTTATCAGGCATTTTAAAATAATGATTTTATGCAGTCTAACAGGGAACTTGGAATAGTTTCTCAACAGTTTCAGGGAAGATAAAAGACTTTGGTATTTATTTTATTAATTTCACCAAATGAAACCAAGCCATACTGTTTGAGCCAACTGAGAAAACTGAAGCTTTTACAGTGTATCATGTCAGAATGATAAAAAACCATGGAATGACTTAGTGAAAGAAAGAAAGAGAGAGAGAAGAAAATGAGAAGGATTTTGATGTTTGAACCTGGGCTCAAGCTTGTAATAAAAGATCCTCATGTATTTGCAGAGGAGTCGAATCCTGGTGATCTTTGGGGGGGGGGGTCTCAACAATTGGGCATAACAGGGAGCAAACTTAAGTGACAAAAAGTGTTCACCTCAACGACATGAGATCTCAGCTCTGGTGCCAGTGAGCATGCCCAGTTTCCTACTTCACATGCTTCACATGATCTCAGGCTTTCTTTACTCTCAGTGTTACAAACAGCCCAGGCCAAGGGCAAAGTCAGTGCAGAGCCCTGCACAGCAAACATGAGGCCCTAGTACTGATCCCCACATGCAAACCAAATAATGACATTAAAACCCCTCACAACACAGCTCCTAACAGTGGATTGTGTGCTGAGAAGGAGTGAGCTTGTCCCCATCAGTGCAGCCTTGGGGAAGTCTGAGCCTGTGTGGTACAGAGAGCTAGTGCTGCCACCAAGGAATCCACACAGCTGACTTCAGAGTACCCAGTCACCCATCAGCTCTGTCACCACTGCCCTTCAACCTCAGGCTGTGGGGCCTGGGCTCAAGAAGCCTTACCTAACAATTACAGCCCTCAGATCCCCATCTATGCTGTGCAGACAGCTCACAAGGAGGCTACCATCTTTGTTTTGGGGGCAAAATGACATTGAAAGAGTATTCCTCTCAGTAAAAGAGTCAGCTCAAATGGCGCTGTAACTTAATTGAGGTATTTATCATATTAGTCATCTGGTAACTTTTTAAAAATAGGAAATTATAATCCAGGAGAAAACATCTTATTATGATCCTTACTAACTTAAAAACCAAAATCTCAGGGCTTAGAGAGATGGCTCAGCAGTTAAGAACACCTGCTGCTCTTGCAGAGGATGGAGATTCAGTGTCCAGCACACACATGGTCCCTCACTGCTGCCTGGAACTCCAATTGCAGAAGATATGATACCTTCTTCTGCCCTCCATGGGCCTGCACGTGATGCAGCTACACATGCAGGCAAAGCACTCAGACATAAAAAATAAATACAAAAAATTTTAAATCTAGTCTCAAATCACAGCATCACTAACACACACATGTACACACACAGACACACATATGCACACCTCATGACTTTGCCTCACTGTTCAACAATAATTAACACAATTTGATAAATGTTACTATTCATTTGTTTTCAAATCATATCAAATCTTTCCCCCAACGGACTGAGACTTAAAAGTGCCTGTTTTATGATATAATGCCCAAGTACAAAGGCCAAAATATTTGTAGCAACTGACAGTATAACTCAAATGGTAACAATATTCACAATCAGAAAAGGAAGGCAACAACATTTCAATATGAAAATGGTCCTACTCATGCTTAGAGGTAAGCCGTGTTTCATTACAGCCAATAATATACCATCTTTCAGTATTTAACAGAAATTAAATGTAGTGAGGAATTTGTTGTGTTAAAAAACCCAGTTACGAGCTGGGCCTGGTGGTGCACGCCTTTAATCTCAGCATTCATAGAGGCAGAGACAGGTAGATCAAAAACAAAACAAACAAACAAACAAACAAGAAAAAGAAACCCCCCAAACAGTTGCATTATGTGAATGTTTTTGCTCTAATCCCAGGTGTGGGGGTAGAAGGCATCTTCACAGCAGGTGACTATGATTTGCCTTGTGCTCCAGGAGGAGCATGGTTCTGCCAGCTGCAGACATTTTCTGCCAGTTTGTGGAACTCTGGGAACAGAGGATGCATAAGAGCCCTAAGAGAGCAGCTGCTGCTCCTGCTGCTGTCCCTGTTGTTGCTGGTTGCAGTTTGTTGCTATTTGTTGCAGTTTATCAAGTAATTATGCACAAAGAGACTAGAAGAAGAAATGGAATATCCTGAAATCAAAGGTCAATCTTACACCAAGGAACTGGACAACCCTGACCAGCAGGAAGTAGTCTAAAGAGATCTCTGCCTCCTCTCCCATCTAACACTCCTTCTCACCTACCTAATGTTGAAAGGTTGGAACGGATTGGGGTGGAGAATGGTGGTAAATAAAATAATGCAATAAAGTAGTCAAAAAGATGCCTACAACTACCTGATAATAATATCAGGACCCCCAAACAGCTGCACTAAAGGTTTGACAGAAATGAGGATGGAGAGTACTTACCCTCTAATTGCTAAGAGCCTGAGCTCAGTCAATAAATCAGAATCATCACCATCATGAATATAAAGTAAACAAGTGAAGGCTCAATGAGCCAGAAGAACTGCGTTCCTGTATGATACAATTTTAGAACAACAGAAAATCTTAAGGCATGTCGATTACTGACTGGTACAGATCCAGTTTAAGAAGTGGAGACAGTCTCTTCCCTGGTTCCCAGCAGCTGACAGGGAAGAGCCTGATTAAGTTCTTCTGCATTCTTTGTGTAGCTATAGCTTTCAACAGCAGCCTCAGGGAACTGCACTCCTCAGCAGGCTCAGGCACAGCATCCTCAGCAGGCTCAGGGCACAGCATCCTCAGCAGCCTCAGAGCACAGCATCCTCAGCAGCCTCAGGGCACAGCATCCTCAGCAGGCTCAGGGCACAGCATCCTCAGCAGGCTCAGGGCACAGCATCCTCAGCAGGCTCAAAGCACTGCACTCCTCAGCAGGCTCAACCCCTCAGGCAGCAGATGCACAGGCTCCCACAGAGGTGCTCAATGACACTGTCTCCTGCCCCTGATTTCAGCTACAGATCAGCCCCCTTCCCTCCCTTCCCTCTTCTGTCATCCCGCCCCTTCTCAACTTAAACTTTCTCCAAATCCGTTTTTCAAATTTACTCAGTTAACACGTATCCACATAAATGAACATTTACATCAGGAAAATAGCCTCTTTTCTCACTTTGCTCAGCCCTGTACTTTGAACTTGGAGCGAGAATTGGTGAATAAAAGTAGTGAATTTTGAGGAAATTCCAGGTGTGCCTAGTTACTTTTTGCAATCCCTGGATAAAAAGTCCTGCTTGGATTAGTCATAACAGTTCCTCCAAATAAAAAATGATTAACAACCCATTCTGTAAATAAGAGGTTAATCATGTCCTCCTTGCTTTCCTGAATATTTCTGTGTGCCAAGCAGAGTGGGGATGACAAATGCATGGAAGGTAGCAGAAGGTAAGTGTGACTCTGAAGTGAAAGAATCAGACTAACCCTATAACCTCTATTTCTTTTAATTGTCATGAAACCTATATTTTTGAATTATAGGCCCATGTCAAACTAAAGTCTATCAGTACTTTTCCAGAGAACAGGAGAATGTAACAGCCCCTCCTGACCTTAGCCATCTGCACAGACCGAGATAAGGAAATGAACAAGCAAAGACCTCCACCTGGTTGCAGAAGAAAATAACATTGTCTAGCAGGGGATCCAGATGGTCCTAATTCCCCTACCAATAGCCCCTGACCTTTTGACTAAAGGCACATAGCCCTAATTTTCAGAGCAACCACAGGATGAGCAAATCGCTTTTCCCACCTTTAACAATGGCCTAGTCAGACCAAAGGATGTACTAATTACGTTCCCACCTTTAACAGTAGCTGAATCTGCACCTATCAGGAAAGATCAGATATCCCCCAGATGTCTGAGACAAAACTGGCCAGACCAGGTGCCCAAAATAGACTCTATATCTGCTCCCATGCTGTCAGACTTGTAACCTCCTCTCTCCCTGTGCTATTTCTTTTAAAAACCTGAGCCTTTCCTGACTTGGAGCTGACTCTAGCCTAATTACAGAGCTAGCCCCATGACTCAATGACTTGAGTCATTTGCATTGCATTGATATGGTCTCCAAGAGTTTACTTCAGTTGCCTCTCAGGTGATTAGACTCCTGCTGAGCCTATCAGGCTCCTGCCTAACCTAACAGAACTAGACAGACTCAGAAACAAATTGCTTCCACTTGAATTTTCTCAATACAATTAGAATAATCCATCAGATTACCTTAGTCATAGTGACCCTTAGAAAACCCTTGGCATTTTTGAAAGAATGACGTATAATCCACACGAGCTGATGGCAGAAGGGGGTGACACAGGAGACCTCCAAGGCTGAGCTCATCTCCACCTGCTGCTCCCCCAGGACTCGATCCAGTTCCATACTTGTTTCACTGAAGAAGGAAGACTGGATATACATTCTGGCTAATTTTTCTGTGACTTGATGTTCTGTCTCTAAAAACTCTTCATGTTCATCAGCTTTGGGGAAAAAGCAGATGAAGACAAGAAACCATTAGCATTAAGAAACCATTAAATTTATGAAAATTTAACTTTTCATAAATAACCCATAAATTATCTATTGATTTTCTTTGAGACAAAGTCTATTGTAATGCAGACTGGCCTCAAAGTTCTATGTATCAAAGGCTTGCAGAGAGCAATGGCCTCCAGGAAGATCAGTAAGCATGGGGCTTTCTGGAAGGTAGTCCAGTATTCTGCTGTACTGTGATGCACCCCCACAATTGCTTCCAGCTGCTGACACCCCTTCTTTCTTTCTGTGCTGCTCTATCTCTCAAAACTCTGGCAGGGTGTGAACCCTCATTTTCTGGGTATTTGCCCATTCTGATTGAAATAAACTACTATGGAATCTTTACTGCTGTTCAGATGAACTAATTCCTGATTATGGAATTCCTGATTTGAACTGAAACAACTTCAGAATTTAAATAGATAAATAGTCAATAGAAACTTTGCACAATACTTTTGTGGACCTCTAGATGCCTCACTAGGACACAGGCTTGTGGCTTCAGCTAAGCATTTGTTCTAGAGATGGCAGGAATCCTGGTCTGCACTAGAAATACAGGCAAGTTGGTGTGAACTTCTCCTGAACCCAAAATGTAATAGGACTACCAAGAAATGTCTAAATTAAGTACAAACCTTAGTGTCAAAAGTTATAAACTGTTTCATTGTAATTCCTTATACCTTGTCAGCTTATGGCATAAAACACTGTCATTCTAAATTTACTTTGTATCGTGAGATGTAAAACTAGTGATGATTACCTTAGTACCAAAACAAGCAACCACTAAAAGCCCTCCTGCCATAATGGTTTTGTCTGTCTCTGTAATAAATGCTTTTGACTATAAGGTAATTCTCTCTCTGAGGTACACAGCTTTTGCTTAGGGTATAAGAGGTGTAACCAGGACAATAAAGTTTGTTGCCTCATCTATTGAATGTGTGTGTGTGTGTGTGGTCTATTTCTCTCTCTCTCTCTTATTTCTCATTCCCCTGTAGACTCCCAGATAAGTTAACAGACTCAGGGTTCTGTCATCAGCAGGCATACTTTACCCAAGAGGCCTATCTACAGATCAAAGATGGCCTTTTACAGTTCCCTGCAGTTGCTGGCTAGAAGCTGCTTACTGCTTACTCTCCTACTCTTACTAGCTTTTTGAAGCCCTGGCTGCAGGGAAAAAGTGGTCAGCTTAGGCTTTCCTGTCAGTAGCAGACCAGCCTGTCCTGAGCAGCAGAGAGGAAACTTTATCTCCCTCCCTCTTCTGTCATTACTGACTGGCTCCTGAGGTCTCCAATTTTGAGAGGCTTTTGAATCTAGATATAGAGCATGACACAGAGATGTCAGTCACAGACTGCAAATAAGAGAAAAAGGCAACAGTCACCGGTGTGACTGACCCCAAATGGCCAATGCTGCTTCCACCTGCCTCAGTTTTTCCTTTCACCACACCTGACTTGTCAAACATGGCTTTGACAAAGGGTGGCCTTGAACTTCCCCTGGCCTCCTGTTTCTATGTGGCAAGTGCTTTGATTGCAGGCAGACACCTTCACAGGTATGCAGTGCCAGGAACCAAACTCAAGGCTTTGTGCTCACTAGGCAAGCATTCTCCAGCTGAGCTAAGTCCTCAACCCAACAAGTTTTGAGAGTAAAAATGTTGCTGCTGTGTAATTCCTTCCCAGCTAAGAAAAGCATCCTTAACTGACCTGGCACTGTAATTATCCCAGGGATACAGCAAACTGAATGACCTTTTCCCTTCTGGATCCTAATTCTTAACATTGGCTTCATCCCCATGTGGATCTATACTTCTTATAAAGGTCTGGTGCCTGCTTTCTGCCACATGTAAATGTATATGCGAATGTACAAAGTGCCAAGTTTCTTTCTTTTTTTTTAAGTTGTAAAGTGTTACAATGCATCACAGACCTTTTGTCCCACATCTTTACTTGCTGTTGATGACAATGAGTCTCTAGTCTGTGTTGAGGCCTCTGGGTCCTGCTACACTATCAACACTGGAGCCTCACAGGCAGCTCTGGGAATCCAGTTGTCCTGAGTCATGGAGATCCTGCAGTTCTGGATCTGCAGGGCTGGCTCCTTCACACGCTCCAGCAGTTCACATATTGGTACATGTTGGGGTGGGCCAACTCAAACCCTGGATCTGGGCCTAGGTGGTAGCTGAGCTGGTCAGTCTGCCAGCTCCTCCATACCCCCACCACCAGGGGGAGCTCTCCAGCACCGCCCTGTCTAGCTCCCCCAATGCTACAGCCAGCAAGAGCCAGGGTCAGCTCTCCTGCTCTCCTGGCCTTAGCAGGCTCACCTGCTCCCCCACCACCAGGGTCAGCTCTCAGGACCAGGCCCTCCCCCACCAATCCCTAACCAGGAAAATGCCCTACATGATTCTCTGTAACCCCATCTTATAGATCCATTTTCCTAACTGAGTTTCCCTCCTCTCAGGTGACTTTAGCTTGGGTCAAGTTCACATAAAACTAGCCACCACACTCTGCAATGCCTGTCCTTGTGAGGTGAGGTAGAAAGAGCATACATTCAAGGTCAGGCTGGCTACATGAGCAAATCCTACCTAAAACAATAGAAAGAACAATATGACAGACAGTGAGTGCATTTACTTTCTAACAGAAATTTCCCTTTTGACAATATCATATAACTGTTCTCTCATAAATTAAATAAAAACCACCCAGCACTAACACCAAACAAAGTCTATTAGCTAATTTTAGGACATTGAATGAACATAAAATGACTATATTCTAATGAACCACATTGTTGCATTTTAATGAAAGGAGTTAGGCAAAAATCTGTGACTCTAGAAAACCCACATACCTTCATGGCTGTCCTCCTTTGTGTTGTTTATGGCACCTCTAATAATGAAGTCCAGGAAGACATCTAAAGGGTCCTTGTGGAGGTCATATATGTAACCTACAAAGGAGGCAGCCCAAGAGTACACACCTGAGGACCCTCTTTCAGAGAGTTAGGGACGGGAAGGAAGACAGAATGTAATTTATCCTTTGATATTTTATACACTCAAAAATGGTTCAGCAATCTCGGTTTCCTGTCATATATATATATATATATGTGTGTGTGTGTGTGTGTATACATATATAATTATGTACATATACATATGTGAATATATACATATGCTATGTGTATAATATATATACCTATGTGATCTCTTCCTGTGAAACAATCATTTGAATTTAGCCTAAATTTTTATAGGACTCTATAAACTCACAAATGTTTGGACATTCTTAAATGACAAAGATTAACCAAAAACAAAGAGTACTGGGCAACATATATTTAAACCTATATTTGGAGTCAAAGATAGTCCTCTGTAACTGTATTCATATTGCTCAAAGATGAAGCTGACTGCATGAACATTGAAAAATATTTCATCATCCAATCTGACTCTAAAGAAAACAGGGAGATAAAAATATGCAGCCAGACTTAAGTCTCTCTAGCCCCAAGCACAGCCAGAACCTGAAATGCAAAGGTACCACTAATTAAGTGATCTCCCACTTCTCAGCTTCAGATCACACCCTAGGGGGAAACTGAAAACCACCATCTACATGATCAAGAATGCAATGATGCTGGACATTCCCAACACTGCTCCAATGATGGATAACTGCCCCTAGGCCAGCGTGTCAGCTAAGAAGGTCACCACAACTGGAAAGCAGAACGTGGGGTTCAGTAAAAACACTCAAACACAGGCATGGATACAGGACAGGAGAAAGACAGGAAACCTTACAACAAGCCAGTACTGTAAAACTGACCAAAGTCCTGTCACCAAATCAACCAAAGGTATCTACAGTGGAGAAACCCATACACAGTGAGTGTGCACTGGGTCAGACAGCAGCCCTGATGTCCCCTGTTCTCTACACAGACACTGTGGATGAAGGAGCTGGCAGAGCAGAGCCAACCAGACCTGCGGATTCGAAGTACTCCAAAGCACTCTTCGCTGGCCCATGAAACATGACTTTTCCTGAGGCCACTAAGGTGAGGCTGTCGAACAATCTGAAGATGGAGTTCACAGGTTGCCTGATGGAGAAGATGATTGTCCGTCCCTTCTTCGACATCCTAAGTTCAAAGAGGGAAACATCTTAAGTCACTGGACATCGGGACCTTGAAATTCTCAACAAAATATTTTGTTTCTGAAGTTATCTTCCTTGTTCCCATTTCAGCTTGAATTTCCCTACTAAACATCTCATCTCACTTGTTTTATGCACCTGAGAGAAAAACCAAGCTCCAAGCTTCTATTTAAAAGATGAGGAGTTCTTAAAGTGTGAGCAGTTAGTGGTCCAGAGTCCACTGGAGTTTGATTGACAGTGTAGATCCCTGGGCAGTGTGGATTTCCGACTGTGAACTGGATCACTAACAGGCAGCCCAGGTGATCTGCAGGATCACCCAAGCCTGAGAACCAATGACAGAGCAAACATTAAAATTGTGACTCAATTCCCTCTGGTCACAGAGAGTTTCTGCTTCTTCAGGAAGTAGTTTTCATTGTTCTAATGACTAACCACTTGATCTCCCTGCTGAATGCATCAGCTATAACCTCATCTCAACTTTAATGATATCAGCATAGTCAATGTAATTTCCCCTCTCTGAGGATGTGCCTCAAAAGGCCAAGCAACAGGCCAAGGAGTCACAGCTAGTGAGGGGCAAAGCTGGGATTTGATCACTGGTTTAATTCCATTGCAGGGAAAACTGAAGCACAGTTTCAGAGAATCATATATTCTGGTAGGAAAACATAGCCAAAATAGTGTTTAAAATTACTATTGAACAATTTCACAAAAGCTGGGTATGGTGGCATATCTGTATACTCCCAGCAACCAGGAAGATAGCCTAGATCACATAAGATTCTGTTTCAAAGAGAGAAAGAAAGGAAGGAAGGAAGGAAGGAAGGAAGGAAGGAAGGAAGGAAGGAAG